ATCATCTACTCCACAACTTATCAACAACACAGCCATGACATACAAGCCGTTCTTGACAAATTACAAGAAGCCAACCTTACAGTTAATATGAAGAAAAGTCAGTTCTTCCGCTCCTCTCTGAAGTTTCTGGGTCATGTGGTATCTTCTGCTGGGGTTGCTGTGGACCAAGAAAAGATCAAAGCAGTTCAAGAGTTCCCTATTCCCCAGAACATCAAACAACTACAGAGGTTCCTAGGAATGGCTGGATGGTACCATCGCTTCGTGCCGGGATTCTCTGAACTCACCGAACCCCTCAACGCGCTGAAACGCAAAGGGGCCAAATATATTTGGACGCCCTCCTGTCAAACCTCGTTTGAAGCCTTAAAAGACCACTTGGTTTCCCCACCTATTCTGGGTCATCCTGACTTCACGGTGCCATTTATCGTGTATACGGATGCCAGTGATGTTGGGTTAGGGGCTGTTCTAGCTCAGCAACGTGAGTTAGGCACCGAGCAAGTTCTTGCCTTCGCCAGCCGAACTTTAAATAAAACAGAGCGAAATTATTCCACGACAGAGCAGGAATGTCTCGCTGTTGTGTGGGCCATTGAAAAATGGATGTACTACCTGGAAGGCCGGCCCTTCACCGTGGTGACTGATCACTCATCGCTGGTCTGGGTGTTTAAAACCCACAAACCCAGCACTCGGCTGATCCGGTGGGCTCTTCGGCTACAGGAGTTCTCTTTTACTGTGGAATATCGAAAGGGAAAGTACAACACTGTTCCTGATGCCCTCTCACGAGCCCCTGTGGAGGAATCCGAACATCCACTGGCAACTTGTGCTGTTGTGCTCCGATCCCAGCGGGATACTTCCCCAACACTCTCGGTGACCGATGAAAACCTCTGGAAGGCTCAACAACAGGACCCTTTCGCCCAAGACCTGTATCAGCAAATTGTGGAGAAAGGAGTGGTTAAGGAGACCTCCACAGTCAAGTACACTATAATCGAAGATAAGGTGTATAGAGTTGTCGAGTTACCCCACAAAACGCTGTACCAAGTTTATATCCCTCCCTCACTTCGTCAACAATTACTCTACCACCATCACAACGACCCCCTTGCTGGACATTTTGGATGCTACAAAACGTACAAACGCCTCCAGTCCCTGGTATATTGGCCAAGAATGAGTGTTGAGGTACGCGACTATGTGAGATGTTGCCAAGTTTGTCAAAAGTTTAAACCTGAAAATCGAAAACCACCGGGAAAGTTGCAGCAAACCGAGGTGAAGGAACCCTGGGGAATGTTGGGTGTGGACTTGATGGGCCCGTTTCCCCGCAGTTTGAACGGCAACATTCACCTTCTAGTCTTTGTTGACTATTGTTCGAGATGGGTAGAGATGTTTCCCCTGCGGAAGGCCACTGCCGAGACCATCACCCAGTACTTAGTCAAAGAAATTTTAACGCGATGGGGTGTGCCGAACTACATTCTCTCGGATCAAGGTCCTCAGTTCTTATCTTCAGTGTTCGCCGAGACCTGTGAAAGATGGAATCTCACCCCAAAGCGAACTTCTGCCTATCATCCACAGACTAATCTAACCGAAAGGATCAATCGCAACATCAAAGCCATGATAGCATCCTATGTCAATGATAATCACAAGAGCTGGGACAAACACATCTCTGAATTCCGGTTTGCCCTCAACTCAGCAGTACATGAGTCCACCGGAGTGACCCCCGCCGAGCTCAACGTAGGACGTCCTCTGAGAGGCCCTTGGGATTCCGAGCTTGGTCCAAATCTGTGTGACCCCGACTCTGCCTCTTATGCTACAGCCAAACAGCTTGCTGGGTTCCGAGAGTTTGTTGACAGAAACCTGCAAAATGCCAAACGGAAACAGAAACAATACTATGACAGAGGAAGACGGGAAGGAAATTTTTCCGAGAAAGATCGTGTCTGGATCCGAACTCATCCTTTATCGAAGGCTGACCAATCATTTTCAGCGAAACTTGCCCCGAGGTGGAAGGGTCCTTACCGCGTTGTCAGAAGAGTTGGCCCTGTAAATTTTGAGGTTGTTTGTGAAGACACTGGTGAGGATCTCCGGGTAGTTCACCTGGCCCAAATGAAGCCCTGCTATCCCACAGCAGAGGAGTGGGAAAGAGAGCAGCGACGCAAGGTCCTTGAAATTTTTATGGAGGAGAGTGAGGAGGAATCTTTCTTGGGTTTCGACAATTCAGAAATTGAGAAACCAGGCCCAAGCAAAGTTGTAACAAAATAGGATGGATGTTCTTGTCCAATGGGTTCTAGGAAAGAACCTGAACCCCTCACTAGTTCAGGACTTCTGAAGGGGGGGGGAGTGTGACAACCCCAGGGTTGCCCCTATGAAGTTTTGTTTCTGCCCCTTTTATGTACACTGTGCGCTCCAGCCATGTATATACGCCCTGTCCCGTCATAGCCTCACCTCATTGGCCCAGTGCTCGCGCTGCGGGTGGAGCGGCCCTCTTCCGCATTTTGAAAATGACAGTCGCGCTCTGACTGAGAAGGAGGCAGGAGAGACTGATCGCATGTGCTCGATAGAAGCAGAATTCTGGAGGTCGTACAATCCCTCCGTGTTCTAAGGTTCTGTGCGCTACTAAAACGCTGGAAAGCTCCGCATGTCATTCACGGAGACGCGTAAAAACGCTCGCTCCTTTTGCTCTTCCGCCTGCTCCAACACTGAAGCCTGTGCCGGCTGGGTACGTCAGCGCACCTCCCGCGTCATCGTAATGTGAGTGAAAAATATTAAATAAACTCTCTAATAGACACTCAGAAAAGCGCTCCCGTAAATATTATTCTGTTTTATGACAGTGAATATAAAAAGACTGTACCCCCTGCTCCATCAACATAGGTGCCTCAATCATACACGTGACATGTGAGTGTACTTTTTTTTTACTATCTTTCTTATTGTAAAATGTATAGTGAATAGTGTTTGATGATATTTTTCTGTGTGTGTGTTTTATCTTCAGCTGGTGCTGTGGAGCAGCTTATGTGGGGAGCTGCCTAAGCTTGTGAACTTTGGGAGGGGAAATACTTTGTTGCACAGTAGTACTGATTTTTTGGACTGTACAAATACACTTGGGACTCTTTATTTAATTTTCTGTGTGTTTCCTCTGGTTTTTTGTCATTCACATTTTAAGACTAAGGGTTTATATTTATACATCTATATTATAAGTCCTTGTGTGACGGAGACAATAGTTCAAACTAAACCTTCAATATCCCACTTGTCAGGAGGGATACCTGGCTGGCACCCCTATAAAACCACAACCCCAAATAATAACTCTAGTACCACCACAATCCCCCAACCTACAAACCGTTACAGTACAGTACTGTAAATACTGTAGATACAGTCTGCAGTACACAGGTACAGTACATGTGATACAGTACTGTAAATACTGTAGATACAGTCTGCAGTACAGAGTTACAGTACATGTGATACAGTACTGTAAATACTGTAGATACAGTCTGCAATACAGAGGTACAGTACATGTGATACAGTACAGTACTGTAAATACTGTAGATACAGTCTGCAGTACAGAGGTACAGTACATGTGATACAGTACAGTACTGTAAATACTGTAGATACAGTCTGCCGTACAGAGTTACAGTACATGTGATACAGTACTGTAAAAACTGTAGATACAGTCTGCAGTACACAGGTACAGTACATGTTGGAGACATGTTTCCATCTGAAGGTCCTGATGCTGCAGCTGTGTCTGACTCTTTCTTCTCTCAGTGTGAGGTCAGGATTGATCACCAAAGTGTGTAGTGAGCAGGAGAAAGTGTGTTGCAGAAAGAGAAAGTGTGTTGCAGAAGGAGAAAGTGTGTTGCAGAAAGAGAAAGTGTGTTGCAGAAGGAGAAAGTGTGTTGCAGAAAGAGAAAGTGTGTTGCAGAAAGAGAAAGTGTGTTGCAGAAAGAGAAAGTGTGTTGCAGAAAGAGAAAGTGTGTTGCAGAAAGAGACAGTGTGTTGCAGAAAGAGAAAGTGTGTTGCAGAAAGAGAAAGTGTGTTGCAGAAAGAGACAGTGTGTTGCAGAAAGAGAAAGTGTGTTGCAGAAAGAGAAAGTGTGTTGCAGAAAGAGACAGTGTGTTGCAGAAAGAGACAGTGTGTTGCAGAAAGTGTGTGGCAGAAAGTGTGTTGCAGAAAGTGTGTTGCAGAAAGAGACAGTGTGTTGCAGAAAGAGAAAGTGTGTTGCAGAAAGAGACAGTGTGTTGCAGAAAGAGAAAGTGTGTTGCAGAAAGAGAGAGTGTGTTGCAGAAAGAGACAGTGTGTTGCAGAAAGAGAAAGTGTGTTGCAGAAAGAGACAGTGTGTTGCAGAAAGAGAAAGTGTGTTACAGAAAGAGACAGTGTGTTGCAGAAAGAGACAGTGTGTTGCAGAAAGAGAAAGTGTGTTGCAGAAAGAGACAGTGTGTTGCAGAAAGAGAAAGTGTGTTACAGAAAGAGACAGTGTGTTGCAGAAAGAGACAGTGTGTTGCAGAAAGAGAAAGTGTGTTGCAGAAAGAGACAGTGTGTTGCAGAAAGAGACAATGTGTTGCAGAAAGAGAAAGTGTGTTGCAGAAAGAGACAGTGTGTTGCAGAAAGAGAAAGTGTGTTGCAGAAAGAGAAAGTGTGTTGCAGAAAGAGACAGTGTGTTGCAGAAAGAGAAAGTGTGTTGCAGAAAGAGAAAGTGTGTTGCAGAAAGAGAAAGTGTGTTGCAGAAAGAGACAGTGTGTTGCAGAAAGAGAAAGTGTGTTGCAGAAAGAGAAAGTGTGTTGCAGAAAGAGAAAGTGTGTTGCAGAAAGAGAAAGTGTGTTGCAGAAAGAGAAAGTGTGTTGCAGAAATGTCTAAGCGTGTGCCTATAGTGTTCAAGCAACAGGAAAAAACTGTAAAGATTAATATGTGGTGACAAAGAAGACGTTAAGCTGGGTCACATGTGAAAGATCTCTAAAGGCAGTGAGAGCAAGGAGCCTGCAGGAGGAACGGGCCAGAATTCTTCTCACCGATTGTGTTTGCTCTGGTCCCAGGCTGCGGGACAGAGTGACGGTGAAGTCTGGTCCTCGTCACCTGGTCTCGGAGACAGACGACAGGTTCGAGATGACCATCCTGTCCGCGGCGCGCTCGGACACTGGAGTCTACACCTGCAAGATCATCAACGAGTATGGAAGCAAGCAGTGCGAGGCGCTGCTGAGGGTCACAGGTACGAGGGGGGGGTGAGGCGCTGCTGAGGGTCACAGGTACGAGGGGGGGTGCGAGGCGCTGCTGAGGGTCACAGGTACGAGGGGGGGTGCGAGGCGCTGCTGAGGGTCACAGGTACGAGGGAGGGGGGTGAGGCGCTGCTGAGGGTCACAGGTACGAGGGGGGTGCGAGGCGCTGCTGTGGGTCACAGGTACGAGGGGGGGGTGAGGCGCTGCTGAGGGTCACAAGTACGAGGGGGGGTGCGAGGCGCTGCTGAGGGTCACAGGTACGAGGGGGGGGTGAGGCGCTGCTGAGGGTCACAGGTACGAGGGGGGGTGCGAGGCGCTGCTGAGGGTCACAGGTACGAGGGGGGGGTGAGGCGCTGCTGAGGGTCACAGGTACGAGGGGGGGTGCGAGGCGCTGCTGAGGGTCACAGGTACGAGGGGGGGGTGCGAGGCGCTGCTGAGGGTCACAGGTACGAGGGGGGGTGCAAGGCGCTGCTGAGGGTCACAGGTACGAGGGGGGGATGAGGCGCTGCTGAGGGTCACAGGTGCGAGGGAGGGGGTGAGGCGCTGCTGAGGGTCACAGGTACGAGGGAGGGGGGTGAGGCACTGCTGAGGGTCACAGGTACGAGGGGGGGTGAGGCGCTGCTGAGGGTGACAGGTACGAGGGGGGGGGTGCGAGGCGCTGCTGAGGGTCACAGGTACGAGGGGGGGTAAGGCGCTGCTGAGGGTCACAGGTACAAGGGGGGAGTGAGGCGCTGCTGAGGGTCACAGGTACGAGGGAGGGGGGTGAGGTGCTGCTGAGGGTCACAGGTACGAGGGGGGGTGAGGCGCTGCTGAGGGTCACAGGTACGAGGGGGGGTGCGAGGCGCTGCTGAGGGTCACATTTACGAGGGGGGGTGAGGCGCTGCTGAGGGTCACAGGTACGAGGGGGGGGTACGAGGTGCTGCTGAGGGTCACAGGTACGACGGGGGGGTGCGAGGCGCTGCTGAGGGTCACAGGTACGAGGGAGGGGGTGAGGCGCTGCTGAGGGTCACAGGTACGAGGGGGGGTGCGAGGCGCTGCTGAGGGTCACAGGTACGAGGGGGGGTGCGAGGCGCTGCTGAGGGTCACAGGTACGAGGGAGGGGGGTGAGGCGCTGCTGAGGGTCACAGGTACGAGGGGGGTGCGAGGCGCTGCTGTGGGTCACAGGTACGAGGGGGGGGTGAGGCGCTGCTGAGGGTCACAGGTACGAGGGGGGGTGCGAGGCGCTGCTGAGGGTCACAGGTACGAGGGGGGGGTGAGGCGCTGCTGAGGGTCACAGGTACGAGGGGGGGTGCGAGGCGCTGCTGAGGGTCACAGGTACGAGGGGGGGGTGAGGCGCTGCTGAGGGTCACAGGTACGAGGGGGGGTGCGAGGCGCTGCTGAGGGTCACAGGTACGAGGGGGGGGTGAGGCGCTGCTGAGGGTCACAGGTACGAGGGGGGGTGCGAGGCGCTGCTGAGGGTCACAGGTACGAGGGGGGGTGCGAGGCGCTGCTGAGGGTCACAGGTACGAGGGAGGGGGGTGAGGCGCTGCTGAGGGTCACAGGTACGAGGGGGGTGCGAGGCGCTGCTGTGGGTCACAGGTACGAGGGGGGGGTGAGGCGCTGCTGAGGGTCACAGGTACGAGGGGGGGTGCGAGGCGCTGCTGAGGGTCACAGGTACGAGGGGGGGGTGAGGCGCTGCTGAGGGTCACAGGTACGAGGGGGGGTGCGAGGCGCTGCTGAGGGTCACAGGTACGAGGGGGGGGTGAGGCGCTGCTGAGGGTCACAGGTACGAGGGGGGGTGCGAGGCGCTGCTGAGGGTCACAGGTACGAGGGGGGGGTGCGAGGCGCTGCTGAGGGTCACAGGTACGAGGGGGGGTGCAAGGCGCTGCTGAGGGTCACAGGTACGAGGGGGGGATGAGGCGCTGCTGAGGGTCACAGGTGCGAGGGAGGGGGTGAGGCGCTGCTGAGGGTCACAGGTACGAGGGAGGGGGGTGAGGCGCTGCTGAGGGTCACAGGTACGAGGGGGGGTGAGGCGCTGCTGAGGGTGACAGGTACGAGGGGGGGGGTGCGAGGCGCTGCTGAGGGTCACAGGTACGAGGGGGGGTAAGGCGCTGCTGAGGGTCACAGGTACAAGGGGGGAGTGAGGCGCTGCTGAGGGTCACAGGTACGAGGGAGGGGGGTGAGGTGCTGCTGAGGGTCACAGGTATGAGGGGGGGTGAGGCGCTGCTGAGGGTCACAGGTACGAGGGGGGGTGCGAGGCGCTGCTGAGGGTCACATTTACGAGGGGGGGTGAGGCGCTGCTGAGGGTCACAGGTACGAGGGGGGGGTGCGAGGTGCTGCTGAGGGTCACAGGTACGAGGGGGGGGTGCGAGGCGCTGCTGAGGGTCACAGGTACGAGGGAGGGGGTGAGGCGCTGCTGAGGGTCACAGGTACAAGGGAGGGGGTGAGGCGCTGCTGAGGGTCACAGGTACGAGGGGGGGGTGAGGCGCTGCTGAGGGTCACAGGTACGAGGGAAGGGGGTGAGGCGCTGCTGAGGGTCACAGGTACGAGGGGGGGGCGCGAGGTGCTGCTGAGGGTCACAGGTATGAGGGGGGGGATGAGGCGCTGCTGAGGGTCACAGGTACGAGGGGGGGGGGTGAGGCGCTGCTGAGGGTCACAGGTACGAGGGAGGGGGGTGAGGAATAATGTAATATACTGCTCATTATTGATAACTAGAAAATTAGCATTAGCCTCATGTTTATTTGACTTTAAAATTTGTCACTGGCCAAGAATGTCTAAAGCAGGTCTAAAGCAGGTCTAAAGCAGGACTAAAACAGGTCTAAAGCAGGTCTAAAGCAGGACTAAAGCAGGTCTAAAGCAGGTCTAAAGCAGGACTAAAGCAGGACTAAAGCAGGTCTAAAGCAGGACTAAAGCAGGACTAAAGCAGGTCTAAAGCAGGACTAAAGCAGGACTAAAGCAGGACTAAAGCAGGTCTAAAGCAGGACTAAAGCAGGTCTAAAGCAGGTCTAAAGCAGGACTAAAGCAGGTCTAAAGCAGGTCTAAAGCAGGACTAAAGCAGGACTAAAGCAGGTCTAAAGCAGGACTAAAGCAGGACTAAAGCAGGACTAAAGCAGGTCTAAAGCAGGTCTAAAGCAGGTCTGGTGTGCTCAGCTCCGCCTATAGAGCCCGCCCTGGCCGTGGTCCGCCCAGTCCGGGACGTTGCGGCTAAAGCCGGGGACACGGTGCTGCTGGAGTGCCACGTGAGCGGCCCCAAAGACACAGACGTGGACTGGCTCTCAGACGGGAGGCTCATTCAGCCTGCGCTGCTCAACTGTAAGATGCAGGTCAAAGGACGCTCCTGCCGCCTGCTGCTGCACTCTGTCCACGAGGACGACTCTGGGACCTACACCTGCAAGATCAGCTCCAGCAGAGGTACGGGGCAGGACCAGGTCTGGACCAGATCTATTGCCGAAACACGTCTGCTAATTAAGTAGTACTAACTTCTTTACACTTTTGTCTTAGGAGAACCTTCTAAGCCTCAAACATGATAGGCATAATTAACTTTTTACATTAAGGACTAAAGCAGGACTAAAGCAGTCCTAATTAATGCTAACTAGTGAATTAGCATTAGCCTCATGTTTATTTGCCTTAAACATCTGCCACTGGTCAAGAATGTCTAATGCAGGTCTAAAGCAGGAATAAAACAGGTCTAAGCCAGTCTGTCCCTGGTCTATCCCAGGTCTAACTCAGTGTGTCCTGGTCTGTCCCTGGTCTATCCATGGTCTAACCTGGTCTTCCTGGTCTGTCCTCAGAGGAGGTGACCTCCACAGGCAGACTCTCAGTGCAGCCCTCAGTGGAGCCTCTCTTCACTCGGAAGCTGGACGTCCTGGAGGTCATCGAGGGACGCACCGCTCGCTTCGACTGCAAAGTGAGCGGGACGCCGGCCCCAAAGGTCGTCTGGAGCCACTTTGGTGAGTAGCACTTTGTAGGCAGCAACGACAGAGCAACCAAAGAACCAATCAGAATCTGTTCTCACTAACTGAAGCCCAATGATGGGGACAGCAGGCTCCTGATTGGTCAGTCCTTATATGGTCATCATTTACAAAGACAACATCACATATAAACACAGGATCACAGAGAGCGATAAACCACAGACTAAGACCAACATGTGAGAGTGACACAAACATTTACATGAAAGTCAATAGGAGCCAGAGAGAGATGGAGCCAGACTTCGCCCCTGAGCACTTCTCTTGTGTCTGTGTTGCAGACCAGCCGCTGGTGGAGAATGAGGATGTGCGTATGGTGCGGGAGGGCGGCCGACACTCGCTCATCATTTCACACGTAACCAACGACGATGAAGGATTCTACACCGTCACCGCGAGGAACCCCCACGGAGACGCTGAGAGTTCTGCTGAGCTGTACATACAGGAGCACAGGCCGGCCATCTCCTCCCAGATGTGAGGAGGGGGAGGAGGGGGAGGAGGGGGAGCACAGGCCGGCCATCTCCTTCCAGATGTGAGGAGGGGGAGGAGGGGGAGCACAGGCCGGCCATCTCCTCCCAGATGTGAGGAGGGGGAGGAGGGGGAGGAGGGGGAGGAGGGGGAGCACAGGCCGGCCATCTCCTCCCAGATGTGAGGAGGGGGAGGAGGGGGAGCACAGGCCGGCCATCTCCTTCCAGATGTGAGGAGGGGGAGGAGGGGGAGGGGGAGGAGGGGGAGGGGGAGCACAGGCCGGACATCACCTCCCAGATGTGAGGAGGGGGAGGGGGAGCACAGGCCGGCCATCTCCTCCCAGATGTGAGGAGGGGGAGGGGGAGCACAGGCCGGCCATCTCCTCCCAGATGTGAGGAGGGGGAGGAGGTGGAGGGGGAGCACAGGCCCGTCCATCTCCTCCCAGATGTGAGGAGGGGGAGGAGGTGGAGGGGGAGCACAGGCCCGTCCATCTCCTCCCAGATGTGAGGAGGGGGAGGAGGTGGAGGGGGAGCACAGGCCCGTCCATCTCCTCCCAGATGTGAGGAGGGGGAGTGGTAGAAGTATCAGTAGTATCATCAGGTGTCATCAGGTGTCATCAGGTGTCAGCAGGTGTCAGCAGGTGTCATCAGGTGTCTAAAGACCTCTCTCCTCAGGGCGAAGCTGGAGAAGATGCCATCGATCCCGGAGGAGCCCGAGGTCCCGGACTCGGACCTGGAGCGGTTCTCGATGCCGGACTTCACCAAAGCTCTGCTGGACCTGGACGTGGTGGAAGGACGAGAGGCGGTGCTCAAGTGCAGAGTGTCGGGGCTGCCCTACCCCAGTATCAGCTGGTACCACAACGGTCTGCCCATCAGGAGCACCGAGGACCGCAAGATGATGCAGCGTGAGTCTGAGGGAGAGGGACTGGGCTCTCTCTGGTCTCTCTCTGGTCTCTCTCTGGTCTCTCTCTTGTCTCTCTCTGGTCTCTCTCTGGTCTCTCTCTTGTCTCTCTCTGGTCTCTCTCTGGTCTCTCTCTGGTCTCTCTCTGGTCTCTCTCTTGTCTCTCTCTTGTCTCTCTCTGGTCTCTCTCTTGTCTCTCTCTGGTCTCTCTCTGGTCTCTCTCTGGTCTCTCTCTGGTCTCTCTCTGGTCTCTCTCAGGTGTCTCTCCGGTCTCTCATCTCTGGTCTCTCTCTTGTCTCGCTCTGGTCTCTCTCGTGTCTCTCTCTGGTCTCTCTCTTGTCTCTCTCTGGTCTCTCTCTTGTCTCCCTGTGGTCTCTCTCTTGTCTCTCTCTGGTCTCTCTCTGGTCTCTCTCTTGTCTCTCTCTGGTCTCTCTCTGGTCTCTCTCAGGTGTCTCTCCGGTCTCTCATCTCTCTCTGGTCTGTCTCTGATCTCTGGCCTCTCTGTCTGGTCTCTATCTGGTCTCTCTCTGATCCCTGGTCTCTGGTCTTTCTCTGGTCTTTCTCTGGTCTTTCTCTGGTCTCTCTCTGGTCTCTCTCAGGTGTCTCTCTGGTCTCTCATCTCTCTCTGGTCTCTCTCTGGTCTCTCTCTGATCCCTGGTCTCTGGTCTTTCTCTGGTCTTTCTCTGGTCTTTCTCTGGTCTTTCTCTGGTCTTTCTCTGGTCTTTCTCTGGTCTTTCTCTGGTCTCATATTCCCGGTCTTCCCTCAGATCGTGACGTTCACAGTCTGTTGATCCGGAGTGTGACTCATTCTCACGGAGGAGTTTACAAAAGTGTCATCGCCAACAAAGTGGGAAAAGCCACGTGCTACGCTCACCTCTACGTCACTGGTACTTCTACTACTACTACTACTACTACTACTACGACTACTACTACTACTACTACTACTACTACTACTACTACTACTACTATTATCTTAAAGGATACATTTCTGAACTTTTATCAGCATGTGAGTCAGCCTACCAGGGGAGCGCACATCCTGGATCACTGCTATAGTAACGTGAAGGCGGCTTACAGGTCCAGTCTCAGACCTGCTTTTGGGAAGTCTGATCACTCCGCTGTTCTCCTTCTTCCTTCTTATACACAGAGGAACAAACAGCACAAACTTACTTCCCGCACTGTGCAGTGCTGGTCTGAGGAGGCTAACATGAAGCTGCAGGGCTGCTTTGATGCCACAGACTGGTCTGTTTTTAACTCTGAGAATGTTGATGAATTCTGTGAGGCTGTGATAGGATACATACAATTTTGCATTGATTGTTGTGTCCCCTATAAAATTATCAAAGAACACTCCGGCCAAAAACCTTGGATGAACACTGATGTCAAACTTAGAATCAATGAGCGGACACTGGCGTTTCAATCCGGTGACGAGGGCGCTTACAAGCTGTCCTGCTACGCTGTGGAACGCTCTATAAAAGCTGCTAAGCGTTCCTATGGGGACAGGTTAGAGGGCTTCTTTGGGGAAGAGGACCCCCGACGCATGTGGAAGGGGATCAGTCTTATCACGTCCTGGAAACCAAGTGCAGGGAAAATTGCTGCTGGCCAAACTCTGCCAAACGAGCTCAACGACTTTTACTGCCGCTTTGAATCTGCTGATCCCCTGCCTTTTGTCTTCCCCGAATGTCAGGGTGCCTTCACAGTGACTCAGGAGGAAGTACGGCGGGTCTTGTCCAGGACCACAGCTCGGAAAGCCGCAGGCCCGGACTGCATTCCTCCCCGCGTCCTGAAACTGTGCTCCGAGCAACTTGCCCCTGTTTTAACGGACATTTTTAAATTGTCACTCAGGAGCTGTACGGTGCCGGTGAGCTTTAAAAGGTCCACCATTATTCCAGTTCCTAAGAAGTCTCCAGTGACATGTCTCAATGACTACCGCCCTGTGGCTCTCACGTCTGTTCTTATGAAGACTTTTGAGCGGCTCGTGCTGGAGTTTATTAAGAGCCAGATCCCTGTGAGTGTTGACCCGCTCCAGTTTGCTTACAGACAGAACAGGAGTGTGGAGGATGCCATCTCCTTTGCTCTGAACTCTGTCTACACTCATTTGGACACTAGTAAATCTGTCGCGAGAATAGCTGTTCATTGATTATAGCTCTGCTTTTAATTGTCTTGTCCCAAGCATATTGGTTGAAAAACTAATGTCCCTTGGTCTGAATGTTGCCATGTGTAAATGGATTTTTAGCTTTTTAACTGAGACCAGAGAGAGACCAGAGAGAGACCAGAGAGAGACCAGAGAGAGAGACCAGAGAGAGACCAGAGAGAGACCAGAGAGAGACCAGAGAGAGACCAGAGAGAGACCAGAGAGAGACCAGAGAGAGACCAGAGAGAACAGAGAGAGACCAGAGAGAGACCAGAGAGAGACCAGAGAGAGACCAGAGAGAGACCAGAGAGAGACCAGAGAGAGACCAGAGAGAGACCAGAGAGAGACCAGAGAGAGACCAGAGAGAGACCAGAGAGAGACCAGAGAGAGACCAGAGAGAGACCAGAGAGAGACCAGAGAGAGACCAGAGAGAGAGACCAGAGAGAGACCAGAGAGAGACCAGAGAGAGACCAGAGAGAGACCAGAGAGAGACCAGAGAGAGACCAGAGAGAGACCAGAGAGAGGACCAGAGAGAGACCAGAGAGAGACCAGAGAGAGAGAGACCAGAGAGAGACCAGAGAGAGACCAGAGAGAGACCAGAGAGAGACCAGAGAGAGACCAGAGAGAGACCAGAGAGAGACCAGAGAGAGAGACCAGAGAGAGACCAGAGAGAGACCAGAGAGAGACCAGAGAGAGACCAGAGAGAGACCAGAGAGAGACCAGAGAGGGACCAGAGAGAGACCAGAGAGAGACCAGAGAGAGACCAGAGAGAGACCAGAGAGAGACCAGAGAGAGACCAGAGAGAGACCAGAGAGTAGACCAGAGAGTAGACCAGAGAGAGACCAGAGAGAGACCAAGAGAGACCAGAGAGAGACCAGAGAGAGACCAGAGAGAGACCAGAGAGAGACCAGAGAGAGACCAGAGAGAGAGACCAGAGAGAGAGACCAGAGAGAGACCAGAGGAGAGACCAGAGAGAGACCAGAGAGAGACCAGAGAGAGACCAGAGAGAGACCAGAGAGAGACCCAGAGAGAGACCAGAGAGAGACCAGAGAGAGACCAGAGAGAGAGACCAGAGAGAGACCAGAGAGAGGACCAGAGAGAGACCAGAGAGAGAGACCAGAGAGAGAGACCAGAGAGAGACCAGAGAGAGACCATGAGAGAGACCAGAGAGAGAGACCAGAGAGAGACCAGAGAGAGACCAGAGAGAGAGAGACCAGAGAGAGACCAGAGAGAGACCAGAGAGAGACCAGAGAGAGACCAGAGAGAGACGACCAGAGAGAGAGACCAGAGAGAGACCAGAGAGAGACCAGAGAGAGACCAGAGAGAGACCAGAGAGAGACCAGAGAGAGACCAGAGAGAGAGACCAGAGAGAGACCAGAGAGAGACCAGAGAGAGACCAGAGAGAGAGACCAGAGAGAGACCAGAGAGAGACCAGAGAGAGACCAGAGAGAGACCAGAGAGAGACCAGAGAGAGAGACCAGAGAGAGAGACCAGAGAGAGAGACCAGAGAGAGACCAGAGAGAGACCAGAGAGAGACCAGAGAGAGAGACCAGAGAGAGAGACCAGAGAGAGACCAGAGAGAGACCAGAGAGAGACCAGAGAGAGACCAGAGAGAGACCAGAGAGAGAGACCAGAGAAAGACCAGAGAGAGACCCAGAGAGAGACCAGAGAGAGACCAGTGAGACACCAGTGAGACACCAGTGAGACACCAGAGAGAGACCAGAGAAAGACCAGAGAGAGACCAGAGAGAGACCAGTGAGACACCAGTGAGACACCAGTGAGACACCAGAGAGAGACCAGAGAAAGACCAGAGAGAGACCAGAGAGAGACCAGTGAGACACCAGTGAGACACCAGAGAGAGACCAGAGAAAGACCAGAGAGAGACCAGAGAGAGACCAGAGAGAGACCAGTGAGACACCAGTGAGACACCAGAGAGAGACCAGACCAGAGAGAGACCAGAGAGAGACCAGAGAGAGACCAGAGAGAGACCAGTGAGACACCAGTGTGAAGACACCAGTGAGACACCAGAGAGAGACCAGAGAAAGACCAGAGAGAGACCAGAGAGAGACCAGTGAGACACCAGTGAGACACCAGAGAGAGACCAGAGAAAGACCAGAGAGAGACCAGAGAGAGACCAGAGAGACACCAGTGAGACACCAGAGAGAGACCAGAGAGAGACCAGAGAGAGACCAGTGAGACACCAGTGAGACACCAGTGAGACACCAGAGAGAGACCAGAGAGAGACCAGAGAGAGACTGTAACTCTATTTTAAATTTAAATTAAATTTAAATTTATTCTTTAGAAGTGTTTTTTATTCTTATTTTTATTATCTCTTTTTGACTGTTGCACTGAGCCAAAGCAATTTCCTGACCTCCTGTTACTTACGTGGCAATAAAAATGATTCTGATTCTGATTCTGAGAGACCAGAGAGAGACCAGAGAGAGACCAGGGAGAGACCAGACAGAGAGAGACCAGAGAGAGACCAGAGAGAGACTAGAGAGAGACCAGAGAGAGACCAGGGAGAGACCAGACAGAGAGAGACCAGAGAGAGACCAGAGAGAGAGACTAGAGAGAGACCAGAGAGAGACCAGGGAGAGACCAGACAGAGAGAGACCAGAGAGAGACCAGAGAGAGACTAGAGAGAGACCAGAGAGAGACCAGGGAGAGACCAGACAGAGAGAGACCAGAGAGAGAGAGACCAGAGAGACCAGAGAGAGACCAGAGAGACCAGAGAGAGACCAGAGAGAGAGAGACCAGGGAGAGACCAGACAGAGAGAGACCAGGGAGACACCAGAGAGATACCAGAGAGAGAGAGAGACCAGAGAGATCTTCTGATTGGCTCTCACCTTCTCCCTTCCTCTCCAGAGAGTAGGTGCAGGGGGCCATAGTGTCTGAGGGCCTCCACAGAACCAGAGCTGTGTTGTTGTATTTCTGAGGGATCTCAGGAGTCCCGGGTTGATTGGGGAGACCTGAAACACACACACAGCAGCAGTACTCTGAGTAATAATCAGTTTAAAGAACTAGTATCTTGTCAGGTTTGTTACATTCAGAACATAAAGCCCCTGTTGTACAAGCAATGTAGTTTTAGCAGTAAAATTAGCAGTGGCAGTACTAGTCTCTTGTGTGAGAGGAAATGGTACAAGACGAGGACACAGCCTCTCGCCGCTTACAGTGGCATTAGCGGTAGCATTAGCAGTAGTAGTAGTATGAGCATTAGCAGTAGCAGTAGCAGCAAAAGTCTCTTATGTGAGAGGACGATGGTGCAGAACGAGGACACGACTGCTAGCAGGTTGTAGTAGCATTAGCATTAGCATTAGCAGAAGCAGTAGAAATCGCTTACGTGCGAGGGAGATGGTGCAGGACGAGGACACGGCTGCTAGCAGGTTGTAGTAGCATTAGCATTAGCATTAGTAGTAGCAGTAGAAGTCGCTTACGTGCGAGGGAGATGGTGCAGGACGAGGACACGGCTGCTAGCAGTTGTAGTAGCATTAGCATTAGCATTAGTAGTAGCAGTAGAAGTCGCTTACGTGCGAGGGAGATGGTGCAGGACGAGGACACGGCTGCTAGCAGGTTGTAGTAGCATTAGCATTAGCATTAGTAGTAGCAGTAGAAGTCGCTTACGTGCGAGGGAGATGGTGCAGGGCGACGACACGACTGCTAGCAGGTTGTAGTAGCATTAGCATTTGCATTAGCAGTAGAAGTCGCTTACGTGCGAGGGAGATGGTGCAGGACGAGGACACGGCTGCTAGCGGGTTGGTGGCCACGCACTCGTACACTCCCGCATCCTTCTTGGTTGTCTGCATGATCATCAGCAGCTGCCGCCCGTCAGGACACGAGATCATGTTCATCCGAGAGTCTACCTCCAGGGGCCTCTTGTCTGCATCAGGGTGAGAGGTCAGGGTCAGGGTTCACCTTTGACGTGAGAGTGGGGGCTTACCTTTGACCCAGTGGACGTTAGGGTGGGGGCTCCCGGCAGGCAGGCAGCTCAGAGTCACTGGGTCTCCCTCAAGCAGAACGTGGTCCCTCAGTTTAATGTGGAAAACAGGAGGAAAGTCTGAGGAGACAGAGCAGAGATGAGACCAGTGTGTTGCCGGTCCTCAGATGGACAGTGTGTTGCCGGTCCTCAGATGGACAGTGTGTTGCCGGTCCTCAGATGGACAGTGTGTTGCCAGTCCTCAGATGTACAGTGTGTTTCTGGTCCTCATATGGATAGTGTGTTTCTGGTCCTCAGATAGACAGTGTGTTTCTGGTCTTCAGATAGACAGTGTGTTTCTGGTCCTCAGATGAGGCCAGTGTGTTGCCGGTCCTCAGATGGACAGTGTGTTTGTGGTCCTCAGATGGACAGTGTGTTTCTGGTCCTCAGATTGACAGTGTGTTGCCAGTCCTCAGATGTGCAGTGTGTTTCTGGTCCTCAGATGGACAGTGTGTTTCTGGTCTTCAGATAGACAGTATGTTTCTGGTCCTCAGATGGACAGTGTGTTGCTGGGCCTCAGATGGACAGTGTGTTGCCAGTCCTCAGATGGACAGTGTGTTGCCGGTCCTCAGATGGACAGTGTTTTACTTTGCCTCAGATGGACAGTGTGTTGCTGGGCCTCAGATGTACAGTGTGTTTCTGGTCCTCAGATGGACAGTGTGTGCTGGGTCTCAGATGGACAGTGTGTTGCCGGTCCTCAGATGTATAGTGTGTTCATGGTCCTCAGATGAACAGTGTGTTCCTGGTCCTCAGATGTACAGTGTGTTTCTGGTCTTCAGATTGACAGTGTTCCTGGTCCTCAGATGAACAGTGTGTTCCTGGTCCTCAGATGTACAGTGTGTTTCTGGTCTTCAGATGTACAGTGTGTTCCTGGTTCTCAAATGAACAGTGTGTTTCTGGTCCTCAGATGTACAGTGTGTTTCTGGTCCTCAGATGTACAGTGTGTTTCTGGTCTTCAGATCAACAGTGTGTTCCTGGTCCTCATATGTCCACTGTTGCTGGTCCTCAGATGGGCAGTGTGTTCCTGGTCCTCATATGTACACTGTTGCTGGTCCTCAGATGGGCTGTGTGTTTCTGGTCCTCATATGCACACTGTTGCTGGTCCTCAGATGGGCTGTGTGTTTCTGGTCCTCATATGTCCATTGTTGCTGGTCCTCAGATGGGCAGTGTGTTCCTGGTCCTCATATGTACACTGTTTCTGGTCCTCAGATGGGCTGTGTGTTCCTGGTCCTCAGATGGGCAGTGTGTTGTTATGCTGTCTGACAGTGATATGCTTCGTACCTGAGGCCAGTTTGTTGTACTGTTTGGTCCTCAGAGCAGAGATCTCGCGGCTGATGGCGGAGGGGATGTCCGGCTGAGACACCGTTTTGTCTCTGCGTCCTCTAGTCAAGCCCCAGCGATCCCAACGAGACCGCCGCTCTGTCTCCACTCCTGAAAACAACACAACAGTCACCATACAAAGAACAACCCAAAGAAGCCCTATACAGAACGAAACTTGAACAAGACCTGAACGAGACCGCAACGAGACCTCAACAAGACCTCAACGAGACTGGAGGTGTCTAGAAGAAAAGCACTTCATGAGCTTTGGTTGCAACTCACCTTTAGTGGAGTCCAGGGACTCGTTGGAGGCCGCGTTGTCGTTCTGCTGTGCGAGCTGGTTTTGTGGTACCATCTTGGCCCCGCGGCTCTCGGAGGAAGCCCTCCTGAGCATGGACAGGATGGGAGTCCTCTTCTGCTCCTTCTGCTCCTTCTCCTCTGACCCCCTCCTCTCCTCTGAGTAGCTCCTGATGCGTGTGGAGATACCCGCCACCGTGGACTCGATCTTGCGCCTCATGGCCAACACGGGAGATTCATTGGGTTTCTTCAGCTCCTCCTTTTCTGTGTGGTTCTCTGTCGCCGCTTCGTCTGGCTCCTTCTTTTCCTGGGAGCCCTTTCTGCCCAGTGTCCAGGAGAGCCGCCTCCTCGAACTGTCGTCCTCTTTGATCTGGTCTGTTCGCTCCATTGACGGACTTCGCTTCAACCTGTTTCCAGATGAAACAGTTAACGAAGGTGTGTGAGTGTGTGTGTATGTGTGTGTGTGTGCGTCAGTGTGTGTATCAGTGTGCGTCAGTGTGTGTCTCATACCCTACGGTTAGGGCATTGTACAGTACTGTATATATCAGCATTGAGGAGGTGTGAGGAGGTGAAGTCCTGCTGTTTTGACATAGAACATGAGACAAACCTCAGTGAGAGCCGCTTCATGAAGCCCTGATCTTTCTGCGCCTCCCTCAGATCCTGCACAGACTTGGACTTCTCCTCCAGCCGCCGAGCGCCCAGCTGCAGCGGCGCCCCCGTGGGACTGGGTCGGTAAACATCCTCCCCCGCCTCATCCGACTGTGCTTTCTCGTTTCTGGATCTGGTCAGGAACTTGAAGCTCCTGGTGAGCGACGACTCTCTCTTCTTGAAGCGGGCCTCAAAAAGTTCCTCTGACGTGACGTTCTCAAACTTCCCCGAGTCCTGTTGGGTTTGGCTCGATCTTGGTGGACTTGGCTCCTTCAAGATCGTCTCTGGAGACGCCACTCTGGCGAAGACAGCGGCGTGTTCTGTGGTGCGTCCTGGCTGCAAGTCTCCAGGGACAGTCTTTATGTTTTCAGCTCTCTCTGTCACTGGAACCTGGACCTGGACTGGGGCCTGGACTGGGACCTGGACCGGTGTGGAAGGCCCGATTGCAGCGTCACTGGTCGGCTGCACCATGATGGTCTGCATGATGCTAGCATACGCCGACGTCCTGCCGTCTGGGAGCAGGGTTTTGGACGCAGGTGGTGTGAGTGAGATGGTCTGTGTGTCCGTCACAGCGCCCTCCTCTGGAGCGTTCGGGTATTCGTCTGTCGGTCGCAGCAGCACTGAGCTCCTGCTGATCACCGTCTCTGCAGCTTTCACTTTCAACTCACTCTCTTTCTCTGGGCTCCTATCTGTCTCTCTGGAATCTTCTTCCATCAACGTCTCTCTCTCCCTTTCCCTCTCTGTCTCCCTCTCTCTCTCCCTTTCCCTCTCCTCCTCTCCATCCTTCTCCCTATCTCTCTCAGTATCTCTCTCCCTCTCCTCTTCCCTCTCTCCAGTTCCCCTAGTTCCCTCCCTCTCCTCTGGTCGTGTCTCTGATTGGATCAGAGGCTCCTCACAGACACTCATGTCCTTCTCAGAGAAGCCGCTGGTGCTGGATCTCTCGTCACAGTTCCAGTCCGAGGTCAGTTTCTCGCCCGTGATCTCGTCGCTTCTCGCTTCTCTGTCGACAAACGAGTCCTCGCTCTCGCTCTTGGTGGGACTGTCCTGCATGTTGGACTCTGGGGTTGGAGGTCTAGGTGAGGGTTCTCTGGGTGTGACCGGTCTGGGTGAGGGTTCTCTGGGTGTGACCGGTCTGGACTCAAATCTGGTCTGGTCGGTGAGGCTGGACATGGAGATAGCCTCCTTCAGCTGCCGCTGCTCTCGCGTCGCCAGCGGGATCTCCAGCGGCGCGCCCATGCGTCTGTGCAACGCGATGGGCTCGGCGTCGCCCTGACTGAACGATGAACTCTTACGTAACACTTTGGCTTTGGGCGAATCGTCTCGCGGCGAGTCACTGGAGGCCGCACGGGTCAGAGGGGGCGGAGCCAATCGGTTCATCCGATATCTGTGGGGAGAAAAACAATACAATGTTTTTTAAAGAAAATGGTTTCTTTCCGGTCTCTCTCTGGTCTCACTCTCTGCTCTTTCTCTCTATCTGGTCTTTTTCTGCTCTCTGGTCTCTCTCTGGTCTCTCTCTGCTCTCTGGTCCCTCTCTGGTCTCTCTCTGCTCTCAGGTTTCTCTCTGGTCCCTCTCTGGTGCCTCTCCTGATCCCTCTCCTGGTGCCTCTCTGGTGCCTCTCCTGGTCCCTCTCCTGGTTTCTCCTCTGACCCGCACCTGTCTGTGTTCCTCTTGTCCTCTCCCATGCCCAGTGTCTCCAGCAGAGGTCCTCGCAGGCCGCTCATCTTGTTGTCCACAGAGCCTCCTCGCAGCAGCCTCTGTCTCATCAGCTCCAGCTTCAGGGCGTAGTCCTCTTGGCTCATGGTGGGGCTGGCGCTGCGCCGCGGAAGCTCCATAGACACAGCCTTCTTTAGCACCCGCCTGCCGTCCTGCCGCGGGGAGCCTGCCTCAGTGCTGCCCTCCTCTGGGGAGATCTGACCACAACACAATCACAGCTTTTGATGACAACCAGAACAGATACACTGGTTTTAACACAGGGGTTATGTGTTCTAAAAAATAACCCAAGTACAGGACCCAAGAACAGGACCCAGACCCAGGACGAGACCAGATAGACTAGAGAGACCAGAGAAACCAAGGAGAGACTAAGAGTGAGAGACCAGAGACACAGGAAAAGAACTAGACAAAGACCAGAAGAAGAAAAAGACCTGAGTGTCAAGACCAGGCTATGGGAAGGTCGCTGAGCTACCGTGACAAGAGAGAGAGAAACTAGGGAGAGAGATAATAGAGACAGAGGAGAGAGAGACACCAGAGCGAGACCATAGACATCAGAGACACCATAGAGACCAGAGAGAACAAAGAGAGAGACCATAGAGAGACCAAAGAGATCAAATAGACTAGAGAGAGACAAGAGAGACCAGAGAGAGAGACCAAAGAGAGACCAGAGAGAGACCAAAGAAACCAGAGAGAGAGACCAAAGAGAGACCAGAGAGAGACCAAAGAAACCAGAGAGAGAGACCAAAGAGAGACCAGAGAGAGACCAAAGAAACCAGAGAGAGAGACCAAAGAGAGACCAGAGAGAGACCAAAGTAATAATAATACTAAAGAATCATAACAAAGCAGTTGTTGTTCACCTTGAGCAGCAGAGCACTGTCAGCGGACCCTCCCCTCCTCAGCTCTCCTCGTCTTCGTCCCGTCTCCACTTTCTCTGAGTCGACGCTGGATCCTCGCTGCAGCTGTTTCCGCGGTAACCCTGACTTCTGTATGAGCTCGGCCTCCTCCTTCTCTCGCTCCCGTAGTTCCTGCGCCTCCTCCGTGGCCCTCTCCTCCTCCTGGACGTGGCTCCCCCTCTCCTCACCGTTCTGGATCTCGTTGAGCGAGACTCGAGATCCGCTGAACTGTGTGTGCAGGGGCATGGGGATGAGGGGCAGCTCGTCGATGTCTTCGTCTGAGTCGGAGGAGGACGAGGCCAGAGCGGAGCCTGGAGCGAGTTTGGGCGCCGCGATGGAGACGTGGCTGGAGGCCGCGCTCAGGAGGTCTGGGATCGAGCGCATCGCCATTTTGGATTTGTAGCTGATCAACGAGCGCTGGGAGAGGAGACAGGTTTAGGACACATACAAATACTATTCTACTCTACCAGAGAGAGAGACCAGAGAGAAAACAAAGAGAGAGAGACCAGAGAGAGACCAGAAAGAAAACAGAGAGAGACCAGAGAGAAAACAAAGAGAGAGAGACCAGAGAGAGACCAGAAAGAAAACAAAGAGAGAGAGACCAGAGAGAGACCAGAAAGAAAACAAAGAGAGAGAGATCAGAGAGAGACCAGAGAGACCAGACAGAAACCAGAGAGAGAGTCCAGAGAGAGACCAGAAAGAGAGACCAGAGAGAGACCAGAGAGAGACCAGAGAGAGAGACCAGAGAGAGAGATCAGAGAGAGACCAGAAAGAGAGACCAGAGAGAGACCAGAGAGGGACCAGAGAGAGAGTCCAGAGAGAGAGACCAGATAGAGACCAGAGAGAGACCAGAAAGAGAGACCAGAGAGAGACCAGAAAGAGAGACAAGAGGGAGACCAGAGAGAGACTAGAGAGAGACCAGAGAGAGAGACCAGAGAGGGACCAAAGAGAGAGTCCAGAGAGAGAGACCAGATAGAGACCAGAGAGAGAGACCAGAGAGAGCCCAGAGAGAGCCCAGAGAGAGACCAGAGAGAGACCAGAGAGAGAGACCAGGGGTGGCCTCTAATCCATGTGGGTTAAGGCTGTAGTACCTGGGTTTCTCACCTGCCATTTCCTCCGAGCCACAAACTTCTTCAGATTCTCTGTGCTGATGACTTTTCCTTTACTCGGAGCCTGGAAGAGGTCAGAGGTCAAACACACGTGTAACTATGAAACATACAACGATAACAGAAGTGAGACCTTGAACCAGGGGTGTCTGAGTCCGTCCTGCGAGTCCGGTCTCCTGCACAGAAACAAGGATCCACCGTGAGCCTCATGCTACACCTGTACATGTGTGTTACATGTGTGTTACATGTGTGTTACATGTGTGAGGGGTGCTTGACTCACAGTGAGTCGGGCACCAGCAGTTTGATGATGAAGCCTTTGGCCTCGCGGCTCAGCTCCGAGAACATGTTCTCCTCAAACGCCACATTATAGTTTCTGATGTTCAGGAGAGAACTGCGGTCATCCTCACCAGCGAACGGAGAGACCCCAGTGAGACTGAGGAGAGAGAGGGAAGAGAGACCAGTGAGACTGAGGAGAGAGAGGGGAGAGAGACGAGTGAGACTGAGGAGAGAGAGGGGAGAGAGACCAGTGAGACTGAGGAGAGAGAGGGGAGAGAGACCAGTGAGACTGAGGAGAGAGAGGGGAGAGAGACCAGTGAGACTGAGGAGAGAGAGGGGAGAGAGACCAGTGAGACTGAGGAGAGAGAGGGGAGAGAGACCAGTGAGACTGAGGAGAGAGAGGGGAGAGAGACCAGTGAGACTGAGGAGAGAGAGGGGAGAGAGACCAGTGAGACTGAGGAGAGAGAGGGGAGAGACCAGAGAGAGACTAAAAAGAAACCCGAGAGACTCTTGTGTTCTCACCAGAGGTAGGTGATGACCCCGACCGGCCTGTGCACACAAACAGCATTCAGCCTCACACACAAACAGATGGAATCATGGGTAATATTGTGAGTTTCACCAAATGTCGGTTGCTTTGGAAACCGGAGTCTGGTTGACAATCTCCGGGGCCACAAACTCCGGCGTTCCGTATCGACAGTACTGCAGGTCGTCCTGGGACAGCTCCACGGCGTTCCCGAAGTCACACAAACGCACCTGGTCTGAGTGAGGGTCCGCCATCAACAGGTTATCAGGCTGAGAGTGTGGGGGGGGGGGGGGGAGACAGAGGAGAGATAGGAGAGGAGAGGGGGGAGGAGAGGGGAAGGGAGAGGAGAGAGAGGATAAAGCGTTATATAGCAAGCTTTAACACACATTTAACAAAAAGATATGAACAAAGAGAGAAAAAACTCATCTGGATCAGAGCAAGAGAGACCAGAGAGAGACCAGAGAGAGACCAGAGAGAGACCAGAGAGAGAGAGACCAGAGAGAGACCAGAGAGAGAGACCAGAGAGAGAGAGACCAGAGAGAGACCAAAGAGAGACCAAAGAGAGAGAGACCAGAGAGAGACCAGAGAGAGAAAGACCAGAGAGAGAGACCAGAGAGAGACCAGAGAGAGAGACCAGAGAGAGACCAAATGTTTCACCTTCACGTCCAGGTGGATGATGTTGAGTTTGTGCAAATAGTCCAGAGCCTCCAGAACCTGACGGATGCAAGAGCGAACCTGAAACAGCAGAAAAAGATATGAGAGACCAGAGAGAGACCAGAGAGAGACCAGGGAGAGACCAGAGAGAGAGACCAGAGAGAGAGACCAGAGAGAGACCAGAGAGAGAGACCAGAGAGAGACCAGGGAGAGACCAGAGAGAGACCAAAGAGAGAGAGACCAGAGAGAGACACAAGAGAGACCAGAGAGAGACCAGAGAGAGACCAGGGAGAGACCAGAGAGAGAGACCAGAGAAAGACCAGAGAGAGACCAGGGAGAGACCAGAGAGAGACCAAAGAGAGAGAGACCAGAGAGAGACACGAGAGAGACCAGAGAGAGACCAGAGAGAGACCAAAGAGAGAGAGACCAGAGAGAGACCAAAGAGAGAGAGACCAGAGAGAGACACGAGAGAGACCAGAGAGAGACCAGAGAGAGACCCGAGAGAGACTAGAGAGAGACCAGATCGAGACCAGAGCAAGACCAGAGAGAGACCAGACCTTCAGCCGCAGACATATATGGAACAGAGGAGTTTCTCACATCTGACTCCACAAGCGTCGACTTCCGGATGAATCGCTCCAACATTTCCTCGTGACATCTGCACAAGTTAAGGACTAACAACAAACTGAGAATAACTCTGAACACCCAGAAGAAACTGAACCAGAGGAAACAGGTCTAAAGCAGGACTAAAGCAGGACTAAAGCAGGTCTAAAGCAGGTCTACAGCAGGTCTGAAGCAGATCTAAAGCAGGACTAAAGCAGGACTAAAGCAGGACTAAAGCAGGTCTAAAGCAGGTCTAAAGCAGGACTAAAGCAGGTCTAAAGCAGGTCTAAAGCAGGTCTAAAGCAGGTCTAAAGCAGGACTAAAGCAGGACTAAAGCAGGTCTAAAGCAGGACTAAAGCAGGACTAAAGCAGGTCTAAAGCAGGTCTAAAGCAGGTCTAAAGCAGGACTAAAGCAGGTCTAAAGCAGGTCTAAAGCAGGTCTAAAGCAGGACTAAAGCAGCTCTATCCCCGGCCTCCTGCAGGATACTTCTCGGTGACGATGATGACGGCGTTCTTCTTCTCGAACACGTCGTGGAAGAGCAGAAGGTGAGGATGGTCGAGCGCCGACAGCAGCTTCATCTCCCTCAGAGACGACACTTTCCTTTTGGCTCGAGCTGAAATGAACTTTGCAGCAAACTCTGACTTATCGGCTTTTTGGACCACGCGCTTCACGTACGAGAACGCCCCCCTGGAACACACGGCTCAGGGTCAGACATTGGAACACATGAGCACAAGTCCACAGTGTGCACCGGAAACCTGTCTAAAATCAAACAGATAAAAAGTACAGGAAGCAACAGAGGTTTTGCACCACCACGTGGCCTACATAGTAACCGTTGCTACGCCGCCATGTTAGATGGCAGGTTATGAAAGTCAATACAGTCTTCACTGCGGCCGAGAGCGCACCTTTACTTATCCTGTTGGGAAAGTTTCGCAGCATTTTTAATTGTGGTAAACGCTCAGAGCGAGACAAAGATGTATTAGATATTTTTTTAAATACCGGCCATAATTAGCCATCAAGGAAAAGAAACTCTAAACCTATCAAACAAACAACGGCTGCAATGGTTTGCAAACTAGCATTCGTGACAATGCAGTTCAAAACGGCAAAATCAAAAACATGTTTGTCTGTTCTGCTCATTTTCACCGAGGTTAGTTGTTCTAATAAAAACATTGCGTTGGAGTAAAAAGCCTGTCAGTGACGTGCGGTTGGTGACTGAGGCACGGACTCCATCACGATCAGATTTAACGCGTCATATCAACAGCACAAACAGAGGATTATTCACACATGGTCCGCATTGTTCGCTGTAACAAAACAAAGTAAACAGCACATTTAAAAGTGTGTTATGGTCTTACCTTATAAATAAACTCCAAACACCACTTCATTCTGCTCAGACCAGTTTCATGTTTAAGTCTAGATAATAGTTTGAGTATAGAAATGTAATCCTCCATTTGGAAATAAGCTAAAAGTAAGTAAAAACAACAAATACGGGTCTCTCTCTTGTTTGCTAGCTGTCTGCAGCACACTCTTGGGTGCGTCCGATTTGTTAAATCCACTTTCTTCCCTTTACTTCCCGTGTGTATCATTCCTACAGCGAGACCTGTGCTGTGGCTGCAGCAGTAGTTTATCTCCACCGTGTATGGAGTGACTGAATAATGTCATGTGAGTGTCCCAAACAGCGCTATAGAAAACTGATGCATTATTATATCTGTTTTCTCTGCTTATTGCTGTTATAAAGTTCAAACATATTTCCTTTACAAACGACATCTCTGCAGTTTTGTCATAAATAAATCCCTAAGCGAGGCCAGCTTCAAGATAGGGGGCGCCTGTGAGCCAAGGATTTGGCTGCATCAAATTCCACTAGAAAGCCTTGAAAGGTTGTTCTTCCTCTGCTGAGGCCAGCTACAGGTTTTGTTCACATACAAGTATCACGTGTGAAGATATTTTAAAAGCCACTTATACCAATCATATGCTTCCAATGAGATAGGAATGATACTGCTAATACGTATTAGCAGTATTTGTAGGACTTTCTCACCGTCCAATCTCTTTGTGGATGTCGTAGTAGTCGCTGAGTCGTCTCATTCTCCTCATGATGGTCTCCTCGTCCTCCATCGGCTCCTCCTTCACTTTCACTGCACCAGAAACACGTCTCATTCTTCAAGATTTAAGGATAGTAAAGTATAGCTACTGGTATGTTTTTGCTGCATATCGCCCAGCTTGTGCAGCAGTAGTAGTAGTAGCAGTAGTAGCAGTAGTAGCAGTAGCAGTAGTAGCAGTAGTAGCAGTAGTAGCAGTAGTAGCAGTAGCAGTAGTAGCAGTAGTAGCAGTAGCAGTAGCAGTAGTAGCAGTAGCAGTAGTAGCAGTAGCAGTAGCAGTAGTAGCAGTAGCAGTAGCAGTAGTAGCAGTAGCAGTAGTAGCAGTAGCAGTAGCAGTAGCAGTAGCAGCAGTAGCAGTAGCAGCAGCAGTAGCAGCAGTAGCAGTAGCAGTAGCAGTAGTAGCAGTAGTAGCAGTAGTAGCAGTAGTAGTAGCAGTAGCAGTAGCAGCAGCAGTAGTAGCAGTAGTAGCAGTAGTAGCAGTAGTAGCAGCAGTAGCAGTAGTAGCAGTAGTAGCAGTAGTAGCAGTAGTAGCAGTAGTAGTAGTAGCAGTAGTAGCAGTAGTAGTAGCAGTAGCAGTAGTAGCAGTAGCAGTAGCAGCAGTAGCAGTAGCAGTAGCAGCAGTAGCAGTAGTAGCAGTAGCAGTAGTAGTAGCAGTAGCAGTAGCAGCAGCAGTAGTAGCAGTAGTAGCAGTAGTAGCAGTAGTAGTAGCAGTAGCAGCAGTAGTAGCAGTAGCAGTAGCAGTAGTAGCAGTAGTAGCAGTAGCAGTAGCAGCAGTAGCAGTAGTAGCAGTAGCAGTAGCAGTAGTAGCAGTAGCAGTAGCAGTAGTAGCAGTAGCAGTAGTAGCAGTAGCAGCAGTAGCAGTAGCAGTAGCAGCAGTAGCAGTAGCAGCAGCAGTAGCAGCAGTAGCAGCAGTAGCAGTAGTAGCAGTAGCAGTAGCAGCAGTAGCAGTAGCAGTAGCAGCAGTAGCAGTAGCAGTAGCAGCAGTAGCAGTAGCAGTAGCAGTAGTAGCAGTAGCAGTAGTAGCAGCAGCAGTAGCAGCAGTAGCAGTAGCAGTAGCAGTAGTAGCAGTAGCAGTAGCAGCAGTAGCAGTAGCAGTAGCAGCAGTAGCAGTAGCAGTAGCAGCAGTAGCAGTAGCAGTAGCAGTAGTAGCAGGGGTGCGTACCGATGTTCCCCGGGTCCGATGTTCCCCGGGTCCGATGTTCCCCGGGTCCGATGTTCCCCCACTTCTATAGGCGGGGGAACATCGGACCCGGGGAACATCGGTACTTCGCGTATTAAAAAGTCCCGATGTTCCCCGGGTCCGATGTTCCCCCGCCAACAGAAGTGGGGGAACATCGGGACTTCAACAACGAGACTAGTGCCGCTGTTCCCCGCGTGCGCCCTTTGATGTTTGATGTTTCCTCCTCCACGAAAGATGGCATATGATCCGCGCCAACTTTTGTGAGAGAAAAAATACTAACTAGCCTAAGCCTATTTACTTTTCTTTTTCCCTCTCGCTCTTTGTGTGCTCATATTTCAGCTGATCGCAGCTTGAGTCTATGCAGGATATTTTTGGGCATGTTATGGGCATGTTATCTCCCCTTGCTCACTCTCCCATGGGCATCTATATTTGACAAGTCTGACTGAATAAAATGAGGACGATTGAAACTAGAGCTACTACATCTGTTAGCCTATAGTTTTTCCAAATACGTGGTTTTGCTGAGGGCACTGTGCTTTTACGCATAATGGACACGCATATGACGTCGTTTTTGTTGTAAAACTTGAATATGCTCTTTTAGTTTTAGAGATATTAATACATATTATTCTATTCAGAATGCGTGCGTCATTGTGCATTGTTGTCCCGCCTTACGTGTCACTCACAGTTAAAATGTAAATAACCAATTCAAACATAGCATTTTTACAACTTGAACTTTAAGAAAAAAATGATCAAAGGAATCAGTGTAAAATAAGATCGGAAAAGCTCAATTCATGATTGTTTAATTAGGTTTCCCATTTTTAAATACAATTGGAAACGCTCAGAATTCAAAAATATTGAAAAGTGTATTGGCTCCTACAGTGGGGGGAATAATAATAATAATTATAATAATAATATAACCCCCTGAGCGTCATCACGTTCCTACGTTGCTTCAAATATCCTGTTTATTGGCTGAACAATTTTGTCCAATATCATATCACACAGCGTGAAGCGAGAACAACCAGCTATTCCTCGTCTTAAAGATTGACAACGCTCTCAAAGCATTCACAACAGAGCAGCCTTTTTCATTTTAATTTTAAGAAAGTTCAGCGTGAACTTTGTGAGGTAGAGGAGCCAGAGGCCCGGGCCCGTAGGTCCCAGAGGAGGAGAGCGCGGTCAGGCCTGGCTCGCCTTGCACTGATGAGGTAAACTCTAGGCCTGTGTGAGACACACTGTGGGCCTCACTGTAGGCCTCACTGTGGGCCTCACTTTGGGCCTCACTGTGGGCCTCATGTATGAAACCTGCGTACGGCCAAATCAGGGTAAATGAGGCGTACGCAAAATATTACACTTTTCCGCATTTATCTATCTGGACGTGAGCGTACAATACGCAAAAAATAAACGCCAGGTCTGGAGGTGGTGTAAATCTATACGCTGAACTCAACCTTCGGCACAACACGCATGAAATTCAAGATATGTACAACAATAAACATATTCCCTCTGGCAAAATTATATGCTGTGTTTTCATTGAGGATCATGTTTCAAAATTTGAATTTGCGCATCAGAAAAAGTCTAATGGAAACACGCAAACTTCGAATAAATCACAGCTCATGAGGACCCTCTATTAAATCTGACTTGTGTGTGTATTATTTTGATCTGTATGTTTTTAAAATGTGAAGCGCTTTGTGATCCTGGACAGTGAAAGGCTCTATATAAATACACTTTACGCAACAGGGATGTGTGACCCATCTATTGCTGTGGCAGGCTCTGCGCTGCGTAATTACGCACGGCTATTTGTATTCCTCATTCACATCTGGTAAAGCAATGTGTTATTTCATTAGATTTGTGTAAGCCTCACACAGACACACACCCCAATAACGCATCGATGGTATTGCTCACTCAAACGTCTCACTGCCCTGTCCAGAGTGCGCAGCGAGTGCCGTGAGAGGTCGCGCCACATGTGCAGAAGTTTTGGCTCCAGAGTTTCTTTGTGAAATCTGGACCGCAAACGCTCTCTGAAGTGTACAGCGCCTCAATGCGCACTTCTACCCCGAGCCAGGCTGCGTCCAAGACGCTGCAGACGCTTCATTCATGAGAGCCACCGCTGCATAATATATATGAATTAATTAATTCATTCAATCAATCTATATTTATTCACTTCTACAATTCAATAAGGATTTTTCTAATGTATCAAAACATTTTGGCAAATTGCGTAAATGGAATATACACCCAAAATGTACACCTTTTTCAACGCAAGTTTCATAAATGAGCTTGTGTGTATGTGCGCGCGTGAGTGCGTGTGTGTGTGCGTTTGAACCATATTCTTTGAAACCCCAATTCCAGTTAGCCCTTGTAGTTTGCAAGCGAATTTGGCCTACTTACTAATCTGCAGGCCTACCCAAAATAGACTAGTTATGAGCGAAAGCCGCTTGTTGCTCCATTATCCGCGCGCAGCAATAATATGTCTATGAGCGAGGCCCGCAGTCGGGGAACACCGGGCCCTCCGGCGTTTGGAAGGTCCGATGTTCCCCGGGTCCGGTGTTCCCCGGGTCCGGAGTTAACACCGGACCCGGGGAACATCGGACCCGGGGAACATCGGACCCGGGGAACATCGGGCCGACCCCAGTAGCAGTAGCAGTAGCAGTAGCAGTAGCAGTAGTAGCAGTAGTAGCAGTAGCAGCAGTAGCAGTAGCAGCAGTAGCAGTAGCAGTAGCAGTAGTAGCAGTAGCAGCAGTAGCAGTAGCAGCAGTAGCAGTAGCAGCAGTAGCAGTAGTAGCAGTAGCAGTAGCAGTAGCAGTAGCAGTAGCAGTAGTAGCAGTAGCAGTAGCAGTAGCAGCAGTAGCAGTAGCAGTAGCAGTAGCAGTAGCAGTAGTAGCAGCAGTAGCAGTAGCAGCAGTAGCAGTAGCAGCAGTAGCAGTAGCAGCAGTAGCAGTAGCAGCAGTAGCAGTAGCAGTAGCAGTAGTAGTAGCAGTAGTACTGACCCTGGTGAACTGTGAGCTCGGCCTTGCAGGACACAGAGCCCGCCTGGTTCCTTGCTGTACAGGTGTAAACGCCTGAGTCCTCGGGCCGCGCGTTGAGAACCACAAGAGAGCATTCGCTGTCGTCGTACACAAAGGTGTAGTGACTGCTCTCGGCCAGCAGGACGTCGTTCTGAGGACACAGGACCTTCTGAGCTTATTATACTTTCAAACAGATTCCTGTGGGAGCCATACATGTATTTTCTCAGAATGTATTAGTTAGTTTGTTCAATAACACTTTTACACTGAAGAAAGAACACTCGGGGACTTAACCAGGACTAAAGCAGGTCTAAAGCAGGACTAAAGCAGGTCTAAAGCAGGACTAAAGCAACACTAAAGCAGGCCTAAAGTTAGCCTTAATGCTGAAGAAGCTGATTTGAACACAAGCTGGAGCCACATTCCTTATATGGGCATTAGTTCCAACAGCGTTAGCTTCTCGCTGTAACAGGAGCAGACGAGATTCTGCTCTCTGTGATCCTGATGTTTTTTTAATATTATCTTTGATGTGATTGGCTCAGTCCTTCCTCCACCTGTCTCTGTCCTAGGTCCTGTCCACCTATGGCTGAGCTGGAGTCGTACCTTGAACCAGAGGATGTCAGGGACGGGTTTCCCCTCACACACCACAGCAAAGCGCGGCGTCTCCCCCGCACACACATCCAGGTCCTCCATGATGCTCTCGAAGGTGGGAGCAGCTGAGGACACAACACAACTCTGTCTGTAAGATAAAACACCTGTTTATGTTACTATGGTGTCTATGGACAGAGAGAGACCAGAGAGAGACCAGAGAGAGACCAGAGAGAGACCAGAGAGAGAGACCAGAGAGAGACCAGAGAGAGACCAGAGAGAGACCAGAGAGAGACCAGAGAGAGAGACCAGAGAGAGAGACCAGAGAGAGAGAGACCAGAGAGAGAGACCAGAGAGAGAGACCAGAGAGAGACCAGAGAGAGACCAGAGAGAGACCAGAAAGAGACCAGAGAGAGACCAGAGAGAGACCAGAGAGAGGCCAGAGAGAGGCCAGAGAGAGAGACCAGAGAGAGACCAGAGAGAGGCCAGAGAGAGACCAGAGAGAGACCAAAGAGAGACCAAAGAGAGACCAGAGAGAGACCAGAGAGAGACCAGAGAGAGACCAGAGAGAGTCCAGAGAGAGAGACCAGAGAGAGACCATAGAGAGACCAGAGAGAGACCAGAGAGAGACCAGAGAGAGACCAGAGAGAGACCAGAGAGAGACCAGAGAGAGACCAGAGAGAGACCAGAGAGAGACCAGAGAGAGACCAGAGAGAGACCAGAGAGAGACCAGAGAGAGACCAAAGAGAGAGACCAGAGAGAGAGACCAGAGAGAGACCAGAGAGAGACCAGAGAGAGACCAAAGAGAGAGACCAGAGAGAGACCAGAGAGAGACCAGAGAGAGACCAGAGAGAGAGACCAGAGAGAGAGACCAGAGAGAGACCAAAGAGAGAGACCAGAGAGAGACCAGAGAGAGACCAGAGAGAGACCAGAGAGAGACCAGAGAGAGACCAAAGAGAGAGAGACCAGAGAGAGACCATAGAGAGACCAGAGAGAGACCAGAGAGAGACCAGAGAGAGACCAGAGAGAGTCCAGAGAGAGTCCAGAGAGAGGCCAGAGAGAGACCAGAGAGAGACCAGAGAGAGACTAGAGAGAGACCAGAGAGAGACCAAAGAGAGAGACCAGAGAGAGAGACCAGAGAGAGACCAGAGAGAGACCAGAGAGAGACCAGAGAGAGACCAAAGAGAGAGACCAGAGAGAGACCAGAGAGAGAGACCAGAGAGAGACCAAAGAGAGAGACCAGAGAGAGACCAGAGAGAGACCAGAGAGAGACCAGAGAGAGACCAGAGAGAGTCCAGAGAGAGACCAGAGAGAGTCCAGGTCACCCAAAGCGCTTCACAATGTTCAGAGTTCAGATATTGTTCGAATCATTCCACACACGGTGATGACGGAAGCGAGTCACCAGAGTGGACTGTACCTGCGAGCTCCACGCTGAAGCTGCAGCTGTCGAGGCCGTATTTGTTGGAGGCGATGAACTCCATGTCTCCTACGTCCGCAGACTTCACTGTGACGAGTCGGATCTGGTGCTGGTCGTCATCCGGCATCGACATCTCATACACACCAGGACGAGGGGATAGCACCTGACCAGCACTGAGGACACAAGACACCAGGGGTAAGACACCAGGGGTAAGACACCAGAGACACCAGAGACACCAGAGACAAGAGGTAATATGGAGTAGATACTATGTAGAAATAATATATAATAATATAAGTTTAATGGGCAGCCATACCATCAGTGAGGGACCAGAGAGAGACCAGAGACAGACCAGGGTTTAATTCATTGATCTCTAATATACACAGCCAATCCAAAGCTCTTTCTGGGTGTTGTTGTAGAATTAAAATGTTGTATACTAATGATTATCATGAGGTGTTTGCTCTGGTCTCTCTCTCTCTGGTCTCTCTCTGGTCTCTCTCTGGTCTCTCTCTGGTCTCTCTCTGGTCTCTCTCTGGTCTCTCTCTGGTCTCTCTCTGGTCTCTGAAGTGTGTGTGTGCGTGTGTGGTCCTGAGTATTCCCATATTCCCGCATTTATTAAAGTCTAAATCCGGATCGGCTCCAAACAAGGACACAAACCTGGTCTGGGACTCGGTCTGGACCCTGCAGGCCGGTTCAGACCCAGATCTGGGCTCTATAAAGCTTGTGAGGCTGGACCCTCGCTGGACCGTCGTTGGACTAAGGAGGTGAGAGCAGTGTGTGGAGACTTTAGACTTTTCTCATCTCTGAGTTTGAGCAAAAGTGAGTCCAAAATTACGACTTTAAACAAAATGTATTGTTTTAACAGAAAAAATATTGAACAAGACTGGTCTGCTTGTCTCTCTCTGGTCTCTCTCTGGTCTCTCTCTGGTCCCTCTGGTCTCTCTCTGGTCTCTCTCTGGTCTCTCCCTGGTCTCTCTGTGGGCTCTCTGGTCTCTCTCTGGTCTCTCTCTGGTCTCTCTCTGGTCTCTCTCTGGTCTCTCTCCGGTCTCTCTCCGGTCTCTCTCTGGTCTCTCTCTGGTCTCTCTCTGGTCTCTCTGTGGGCTCTCTGGTCTCTCTCTGGTCTCTCTCTGGTCTCTCTCTGGTCTCTCCCTGGTCTCTCTCTGGTCTCTCTCTGGTCTCTCTCTGGTCTCTCTCTGGTCTCTCTCTGGTCTCTCTCTGGTCTCTCTCTGGTCTCTCTCTGGTCTCTCTCTGGTCTCTCCCTGGTCTCTCTCTGGTCTCTTGCCGGTCTCTCGCCGGTCTCTCTCTGGTCTCTCTCTGGTCTCTCTCTGGTCTCTCTCTGGTCTCTCTCCGGTCTCTCTCTGGTCTCTCTCTGGTCTCTCTCTGGTCTCTCTGTGGGCTCTCTGGTCTCTCTCTGGTCTCTCTCTGGTCTCTCTCTGGTCTCTCCCTGGTCTCTCTCTGGTCTCTCTCTGGTCTCTCTCTGGTCTCTCTCTGGTCTCTCTCTGGTCTCTCTCTGGTCTCTCTCTGGTCTCTCTCTGGTCTCTCCCTGGTCTCTCTCTGGTCTCTCCCTGGTCTCTCTCTGGTCTCTCTCTGGTCTCTCTCTGGTCTCTCCCTGGTCTCTCTCTGGTCTCTCTCTGGTCTCTCTCTGGTCTCTTGCCGGTCTCTCGCCGGTCGCTCTCTGCTCTCTCTCTGGTCTCTCTCTGGTCTCTCTCTGGTCTCTCTCTGGTCTCTCTCTGGTCTCTCTCTGGTCCCTCTCTGGTCCCTCTCTGGTCTCTCTCTGGTCCCTCTCTGGTCTCTCTCTGGTCTCTCAGATGTCCTCCACAGCGCCCCCTCCTGTCGGCTGCAGTATCATCATCTCAGATCCTCAGGTTCAGGAGGCGGCGATCAGGATCCAGGCCTCGTACAGAGGACACAGGTGTGTGTTTGTGTGTGTACGTTTGTGTGTTTGTGTGAGTGTGTTTCTATGTGTAAGTTTGTGTGTCTATGTACAGTATGTGAGTGTCTGCGTGTGAGTCTGTTTGTGTGTCCTTGTATGTGCCTGTGTGTGTGTTTGTGTGTCCTTGTATGTGCCTGTGTGTGTGTTTGTGTGTCCTTGTATGTGCCTGTGTTTGTGAGGGTGTGTGTGTGTGTGTGTGTGTATGTCTGTGTGTGTCTCAGCACACAAAGCGAGGTGTCGCCACAAAGTGGTGGGAGGTGAGAGTACACACAGATACATGGAGGAGGCCTCTGTCCAGGGATCAGCGCTAGGTCATGTACGGAATCGAGACGGAAGTAAATATAATAAACTACCTATTTCTCAGACCACCTTAACCCTAACCTTAACCATCTTACTCAGACCACCTTAACCCTAACCTTAACCATCTTACTCAGACCACCTTAACCCTAACCTTAACCTTCTTACTCAGACGCCTAAAACTTAACCAGTCACCACTTAAGGACTTATCTGTCTAAAACTAATTCGAAGGTAGGATTGTTACTTCCTGTTTCGTCCTGATTCCATATCTATAGTGCCGACCTCTGTCCAGGACCAGAACAACAGATACCACAAAGCCCCGCCTCCTCAGAGCCCTGATTGGACAGAACCTCCCTCTGTCTGGAACTATACGTCTGCTTCATCCAACCCCTTTTCCCCCTTGGTGTCATTGCACGTGTCCTTCTGGTTCAGTGTTTGTCTCTGAACAGTGCTCCCCCTGCAGGTCTCGGTCGGAGCTGCGTTCCAGGGGCCCCCCGCGGCTCCTGGAGGATCTCCTGGACGTGGTTCTGGTGGAGGGCAGTGCTGCGCGGCTGTGGTGTCGTGTGAGTGCGTTCCCCGACCCCTTCATCGTCTGGTCCAAAGATGGCGTCGCGCTGCAGGACTCGCACAAACATAGATACGTGTTCGAGGACCCGGACGTGGTCGCTCTGGTCGTGAGGGACGGGGACCTCAGCGACCTCGGGCGCTACATGGTTACCATCAAGAACGCCTTTGGAGAGACTCAGGGCTCTGCATGCATCCTGGTGGAGGGTGAGACCACAGGGAGACCAGAGAAAGACCAGAGGGACCAGAGAGAGACCAGAGAGAGACCAGAGAGACCAGGGAGAGACCAGAGAGAGACCAGAGAGAGACCAGAGAGAGACCAGAGAGAGACCAGAGAGAGACCAGAGGGACCAAGGAGAGACCAGAGAAAGACCAGAGGGACCAGAGAGACCAGAGAGAGACCAGAGGGACCAGAGGGACCAGGGAGAGACCAGAGAGAGACCAGAGGGACCAGAGGGACCAGGGAGAGACCAGAGAGAGACCAGAGAGACCAGAGGGACCAGGGAGAGACCAGAGAGAGACCAGAGAGAGACCAGAGAGAGACCAGAGAGAGACCAGAGAGAGACCAGAGAGAGACCAGAGAGAGACCAGAGAGAGACCAGAGAGAGACCAGAGACAGACCAGAGACAGACCAGAGAGAGACCAGAGGGACCAGGGAGAGACCAGAGAGGGACCAGAGGGACCAGGGAGAGACCAGGGAGAGACCAGAGAGAGACTATAGGGACCAGAGGGACCAGGGAGAGACCAGAGAGAGACAAGGGAGAGACCAGAGGGACCAGGGAGAGACCAGCGAGAGACTATAGGGACCAGAGGGACCAAGGAGAGACCAGAGAGAGACCAGGGAGAGCCCAGAGGGACCAAGGAGAGACCAGAGGGACCAAGGAGAGACCAGAGAAAGACCAGAGAGAGACTAGAGGGACCAGAGAGACCAGGGAGAGACTAGAAACCAGAGAAAGCTCAGAAAGACAAGAGAATGTCTAATTTAGTCTTCACCTCACAGTTTTCTGTTACTTTGTTGTGTCTCTCTCTGGTCTCTCTCTCTGGTCTCTTTCTGATGGGCTTTCGTGTGTTTTCAGTCCCGGCTAAAGTGTCCAAAGGTCCGGAGAGTCTTCGGTCCAAACGCGGCTGCACGGTCACTCTGAAGGCCGAGGTCAGCGGAGAACCACCTCCCCTGGTGGCCTGGCTGAAGGACGGCGACGACATCGAGGAGGACGAACGGTAACAGAGACACAGCTTTGAGACCCACCAGAGAGATACCAGAGATACCAGAGAGACCAGAGAGACCAGAGAGACCAGAGAGACCAGAGAGACCAGAGAGACCAGAGAGACCAGAGAGACCAGGGAGACCAGGGAGACTAGAGAGAGACTAGAGAGAGACTAGAGAGAGACCAGAGAGACCAGAGAGACCAGAGAGACCAGGGAGACTAGAGAGAGACTAGAGAGAGACTAGAGAGAGACTAGAGAGAGACTAGAGAGAGACTAGAGAGAGACCAGAGAGACCAGAGAGACCAGAGAGACCAGAGAGACCAGAGAGACCAGAGAGACCAGGGAGACCAGGGAGACCAGGGAGACTAGAGAGAGACTAGAGAGAGACTAGAGAGAGACTAGAGAGAGACTAGAGAGAGACTAGAGAGAGACTAGAAAGAGACTAGAGAGAGACTAGAGAGAGACCAGAAAGAGACCAGAAAGAGACCAGAAAGAGACCAGAAAGAGACCAGAAAGAGACCAGAAAGAGACCAGAAAGAGACCAGAAAGAGACCAGAAAGAGACCAGAAAGAGACCAGAAAGAGACCAGAGAGAGACCAGAGAGAGACCAGAGAGACCAGAGAGACTAGAGAGAGACTAGAGAGACTAGAGAGACTAGAGAGACCAGAGAGACCAGAGAGACCAGAGAGACCAGAGAGATCAGGGAGACCAGAGAGAGACCAGGGAGAGACCAGGGAGAGACCAGAAAGAGACCAGAAAGAGACCAGAGAGAGACCAGAGAGAGACCAGAGAGAGACCAGAGAGAGACCAGAGAGAGACCAGAGAGAGACCAGAGAGAGTCCAGAGAGAGACCAGTGAGAGACCAGTGAGAGACCAGTGAGAGACCAGTGAGAGACCAGTGAGAGACCAGTGAGAGACCAGAGAGAGAACAGAGAGAGAACAGAGAGAGACCAGAGAGAGACCAGAGAGAGAGACCAGAGAGAGAGACCAGAGAGAGAGACCAGAGAGAGAGACCAGAGAGAGAGACCAGAGAGAGACCAGAGAGAGAGACCAGAGAGAGACCAGTGAGAGAGACCAGTGAGAGAGACCAGAGAGAGACCAGTGAGAGAGACCAGAGAGAGACCAGTGAGGGACCAGAGAGAGAGACCAGAGAGAGACCAGTGAGAGACCAGAGAGAGAGACCAGAGAGAGACCAGTGAGGGACCAGAGAGAGAGACCAGAGAGAGACCAGAGAGACCAGAGAGAGAGACCAGAGAGACCAGAGAGAGACCATAGAGCTCTCACTGGTTTCTCTCTTTGTTACAGAGTGTTCTTTGACGTGGGTGACACCAGTTCTATCCTGACCATCAAGAGCGTCCAGCCGCAGGACTCTGGTCGATACGAGGTGTTTGTGGAGAACCATCTGGGGACGGACCAGTCGTTCGCTCGACTCGACGTGTTCTGACCTCAATAAACATTACTCTCAGACAGATGTGTTTTTACTCTCACTCTCAGATCCTTCATGAAATAGTTCCGCTTTAAAGTCACAGACCCCAGCTTTAAAGTTACAGACCCCAGCTTTAATGTCAGATCTCTGTGTGTTATAATCCCATATAATATTTGAATCTGAAAGAGGAGAAAACAGATCTGTAGTTTTAGGGATCACACTTTGTCTCTTCTCAGTCACAAACTCTACATTTGCTTTGTCTGAGGACGTAAACGTGACGCTGAAAAAATACATTTTAAATATTGCATTTTTGTATTATTTTGTTCAAAAGTATTAAAGGACAACTCACCCTCAAATCCACTTTTTTTTGCTGATAAACGGTATAAATGAGTGTCCAATAGTGTTGTCTACATATCCTGGTCATAATTTTGTCACTTTGGTGCAAATTAGTTGAAAGTTAAACTTTCTGCCTAAAACCGTCTGTGAGGCGCCATCTGCTGGCGACCTGTATTACTACATTTGAATTTTGAATCTGGCGCCAACACTGGCGCGGCAGCAAGACCTGACGTCTGAAGCAAGACCTGACGTCTGAAGCAAGACCTGACGTCTGAAGCAAGACCTGACGTCAGAAGCAAGACCTGACGTCTGAAGCGAGACCTGACGTCTGAAGCAAGACCTGACGTCTGAAGCAAGACCTGACGTCTGAAGCGAGACCTGACGTCTGAAGCAAGACCTGACGTCTGAAGCAAGACCTGACGTCTGAACCAAGACCTGACGTCAGAAGCAAGACCTGACGTCTGAAGCAAGACCTGACGTCTGAAGCAAGACCTGACGTCTGAAGCAAGACCTGACGTCTGAAGCAAGACCTGACGTCTGAAGCAAGACCTGACGTCTGAAGCAAGACCTGACGTCTGAAGCAAAACCTGACGTCTGAAGCAAGACCTGACGTCTGAAGCAAGACCTGACGTCTGAAGCAAGACCTGACGTCTGAAGCAAGACCTGACGTCTGAAGCAAGACCTGACGTCTGAAGCAAAACCTGACAGCAGCCCCCCGCCCAGAGCTATATAAACGGCCCAGTCTTGTTCACGCCCCCTTTAGTCCTCCAGGCCACGCCCATTTAGAGGAAGATTTGAACAGGAAATGTGAGTGACGTAAGCTCCGAGGAGCTGAGTTAAAAATTGAAACATAATACAAACAAAACAGGTGCCTTTAAAATACAACTAACAAGCATATTTAAAAAAACACAAAAGACAAACTAAAAATAAAACAAAAGCCAGGGTGGCGTTTGTACCAGCAGAGGAGACACACCACATCAATTCAAATATGTTAATTATTTGAAAACAAATAAATAATTGATAACGTTTCTTGTTGTTCATTAAAAATGATGGTAATTGTAATAAAAAGATGATTATCAATGTGTTGTGAGACTGTTCCTTTAAATGTCCTTAAACGTTTCCACATCCGTCCGGTAGAGGGCGCCGTTGTTTCTGCTCTGACTGTTCCGCCATTTTGTAAGAAAAACGATTTACTAAAGTGTTTAAAATCTGACTGAAATGTGTTGTTAAAACTTGTTCTGGTTCTCAGAGACGATAATGACAGCCTCAGGTCTGGACACGAGGATTTGTGGAGTTTAATTCCTGATTCTTGAGTCCGTTATGATGCTAAGCTAACGCTAAGCTAACGCTAGCTCATGACACTGCATTTTCTCTCGACCTGATCGTGATTGTTTCTTTTGAAAATCTGTGAAAATGTAAAACTATGAACAGATGAAGTGTTTTCAGAAACATGATTTTATGTTTAGATTTATCATATAGTACATATAATATATTATTGAAGGGCTTTGTATAACATAAGAGTTGAATGTTATACAGTATATAATTGTTATTGAGTTGGAGATGAGACTGTATTGACTCTGAATTATATGAATGTTGTCCTGTTGCAGGTGGTGTTTTGACCTGAGGACAGTTTGGTGATTGGCCGGTGTCAGGAGTTTGTTATGTTTAGAGCCAGATGCCCTCCCATCTCCTTCATCCTTGGCCTTCATCTCAAACAGCTAAAAAGCTAAGATCTTGTGCTCATTCTCCTGATGGTTTCAGAGTCTGAAAGGTTTTCTGAAGCTCTCTTTCTTTCTCCGGTGTCTCTGGTCTATTTGGTCTCTCTCTGGTCTCTTTGGTCTCCCTCTGGTCTCTTTGGTCTCTCTCTGGTCTCTCTCTTATCTCTCTCTGGTCTCTCTCTGGTCTCTCTCTTATCTCTCTCTGGTCTCTCTCTGGTCTCTCTGGTCTCTCTGGTCTCTCTGGTCTCTCTGGTCTCTCTGGTCTCTCTGGTATCTCTGATCTCTCTCTGGTCTCTCTGGTGCTCAGTTCTATCTTTATCCCCTGGTGGCAGCTGTGGGAAGTGCGCGTCAGTATTTTTAGTGACGCTGACAGCTGCAGCTGCATTGCACACACTCCACAGTCCACAGAGGGATCCTGGACTCAAATCTGACTCAAACCGGACCTTCAAACCCGGTCTCTGCGTGGCCCCGGTCTGGCCCCGGTCTGGCCCTGGTCTGGACTATGATCCTGTGGACTTGGAGCTCGTTTTGAGAGTTCTATGGGGTGTTGTTGGGACAGACATGGCGGCGGCGTTCTGAGGTGAGTGTCTCTGGGGTCGTGGGGTCGTTCCTATTAAACACATTCTGTAAACACACACTTTTCCCGCCGTTTCGCTCTTGATTCATTCTTCAAATCGCCGCCATTTTGTTCCTCGAGCTTCAGTGGTCACAGAGCATCGGATTTAGCAGAAAAATGGGTTTTTGGTAAATTTTGTTTTGGCGAAAAAAAACTGAGACCACAGAGAGAGACCAGAGAGAGAGACCAGAGGGAGACCAGAGAGAGAGACCAGAGAGAGACCAGAGAGAGACCAGAGAGAGACCAGAGCGAGACCAGAGAGAGACCAGAGAGAGACCAGAGAGAGACCAGAGAGAGACCAGAGAGAGAGACCAGAGGGAGACCAGAGAGAGAGACCAGAGAGAGAGACCAGAGGGAGACCAGAGAGAGAGACCAGAGAGAGACCAGAGAGAGACCAGAGAGAGACCAGAGGGAGACCAGAGGGAGACCAGAGAGAGACCAGAGAGAGAGACCAGAGGGAGACCAGAGAGAGACCAGAGAAAGACCAGAGGGAGATTAGAGAGAGACCAGAGAGAGACCAGAGAGAGACCAGAGGGAGACCAGAAAGAGAGACCAGAAAGAGAGACCAGAGGGAGACCAGAGGGAGACCAGAGAGAGACCAGAGAGAGACCTTAGGGAGACCAGAAAGAGACCAGAGAGAGAGACCAGGGTGATACCAAAGAGAGACCAGAGGGAGACCAGAGGGAGACCGGAGAGAGAGACCAGAGAGAGACCACAGGGTTACCATTGTTACCAGGAAAGATGTCTGTGAAACTATTGCTCTCTAGAACATGCTGATGTCACATGACCACAGACTAGAACTTTGAAAGTAGTAAACATTTGAACATATGCTGAATTGGTTTTATCTTATAGTACAGTGTGTGTGTGTGTGTTTGTATGAGTCTGTTGGATACAGTTAGTGTCCAACTAGAAGGACTGTGATGATCCAGGACACTTTAACATTCTACATGTATGACATTTATCACATGTATGACATTTATCACATGTGTGACATTTATCACATGTAAGACATTTATTACATGTATGACATTTATCACATGTATGACATTTATCAACATGTGTGACATTTATCACATGTGTGACATTTATCAACATGTATGACATTTATCAACATGTATGACATTTATCACATGTGTGACATTTATCAACATGTGTGACATTTATCAACATGTATGACATTTATCACATGTTTGACATTTATCACATGTATGACATTTATCACATGTGTGACATTTATCACATGTATGACATTTATCACATGTGTGACATTTATCACATGTGTGACATTTATCAACATGTATGACATTTATCACATGTGTGACATTTATCACATGTATGACATTTATCACATGTATGACATTTATCACATGTATGACATTTATCACATGTATGACATTTATCACATGTATGACATTTATCACATGTATGACATTTATCAACATGTATGACATTTATCACATGTATGCCATTTATCACATGTATGCCATTTATCACATGTATGCCATTTATCAACATGTATGACATTTTTATCAACATGTATGACATTTATCAACATGCGTGACATTTATCACATGTATGCCATTTATCACATGTATGACATTTATCAACATGTATGACATTTATCACATGTATGACATTTATCACATGTATGACATTTATCAACATGTATGACATTTATCACATGTATGACATTTATCACATGTATGACATTTATCACATGTGTGACATTTATCACATGTATGACATTTATCACATGTATGACATTTATCACATGTGTGACATTTATCACATGTATGACATTTATCACATGTATGACATTTATCACATGTGTGACATTTATCACATGTATGACATTTATCACATGTGTGACATTTATCACATGTATGACATTTATCACATGTTAGACATTTATCACATGTATGACATTTATCACATGTATGACATTTATCACATGTATGACATTTATCAACATGTATGACATTTATCACATGTATGACATTTATCACATGTGTGACATTTATCACATGTATGACATTTATCACATGTATGACATTTATCACATGTGTGACATTTATCACATGTATGACATTTATCACATGTATGACATTTATCAACATGTATGACATTTATCACATGTATGACATTTATCACATATGTGACATTTATCACATGTATGACATTTATCAGCATGTATGACATTTATCAACATGTATGACATTTATCACATGTATGACATTTATCACATGTGTGACATTTATCACATGTATGACATTTATCACATGTATGACATTTATCACATGTGTGACATTTATCAACATGTATGACATTTATCACATGTATGACATTTA